TAATAATCACTGAATCAACAAAATATGAAGGAATATGGAAATATAGTTATGTTAGGATATCAGGCCTAGAGTAATGAACTGAAAATAGTTTCCAAAAATATAATTTATCTAAATTTTATAAATAATTTAGAGTTCACTAAAAAGAGAAACATGGTAAGGTTTTTTTTAAAATCTCCCTCTCACACATACATGCCACACACAAACTTCTATAAACCTCTTCAAGAAAATCACAAACAGAGAATATTTATTGCTTTAAGGTATACATAAAAATAGTAAAATATTAAGCATAAGAGATATACTTTCAACTAGACATGGAAATATGATGTAATTACATAGGAACACATAGTTTTGACAGTATAGGCTATTCCTCTTGCCCAATTGGCAGCCATCAAAATCAAACTAACCTAGACTAAGTCCCAAGAAAATCAGCCAAATAACATTAATCAGATTATAATGGTGAATTAATAGCCAGAGACTTATTATTATAATATAGATCAATAAAGTTTTATGGCACTCTATAAGATTGTATAAATTATTATGTTGTCTTAAAGTTTCATATCAAAAGTTACTCAAGCCGAGCACAGTTGCTCACCCTGCAGTTCCAGCTACCCAGGAGGCTGAGGTGGGAGGATTCCTTGAGTGCAGGAGTTAGAGGCTGCGGTGAGCTATGACTGTGCCACTGCACTCCAGCCTGGGCAACAGAGACAGAGATCCTGTCTCTCAGAAAAACATAAATGTTACTCAGGAACTGGAACATTGTATAAAAATATTTAACCAGTATTTAATTAGTCCCTATTATGTGAAAGTCAATTATTACACAGAATCTTTTTTTTTATATAATTTGGGTTCTACTATGATCTGAATATCTGTGTCTCCCCCAAAATTCTTATATCAAAAACTACCCCTCAAAAGCATGGTACTTAGAGGTGGGGCCATTGGGAGACGGTTAGATCACAGGGCTCCACCTTCATAATTGAGATTAGTGCACTTATAAAAACAAGCCCATGGGTGCTTGTTTACCCCTTCAGCCATCTGAGCAAGACACCATCTATGAGAAACAGGTTCTCACCAGACATCAGATCTACAGGCACCTTGAACTTGGACATCCCAGCCTTCAGAACTGTGACCAATAAATTTCTGTTATTTATAAATTACTCAATCTAGGTATTTTGTTATAGCAGCCTGAATGAACTAAGAAAGGTTCCAAATGTTTATTTTGATTTTGTTATTCTGAAATTGGATGGCATTTTGCCTCTAAAACAATGCTATAAATGGTAGGCAGTTTCCCAAATCAGTTCACAAAAACTCATTTATTCCTTTATGAACATTTAACTCTCATTAGTACTCTAGCTATCACACAATGTATAGCAGTGTTTCAATGGCAAAAGAGGTGCTGCATTCCAGACCCATTTGCACAGCACTTTTTGGCCTCACCTCTTCTCCCAACCCAGATCACATCAAACTATTCAAGCCGCCATGAATATGCCACATTCTTTAATATCTCCATAACTCTCCCATAGGCTGTTTCTTCTATCTAAAATACCACCCTTCAACTCCTGTCTCCCCCCACCCCCCAAACACACACGCATTCACGCACATGTGTGCACACATTTAACTGCCTGGCAATCTCCAATGCATCCTTCAAGTCTAAACTCAAATTCCACCCTGCCACTATGGAGCCTTCCTGGTTACTTAAAGCTGAGTTGGATCACTATCTCAACCAATGTTCATGAGTGTATATAAAATAATTTCATTATAACATCTGAGGAACTAAGCAAAAATTAATCTTTGTGCATTTTTCCCCATAAGACTATGAGCTTCTGAAGACAGAGTCTGTATTTTATGTTCCTTTATATTCTCAAAATATATACATATTATATATTTTTTTTTCCTCCAGGTTCAGCACAATACATAGAACCGAAGGGGTATATAATAAATAAAAAACAAAGAATGGAAAGAAGACTGGAGTAAGGATCAGAATGACAAAATTATTCTTCCTGGTCTGCTGTCAACCACCTGAATAAGGCAATGAGGGTTGGGTGGGGTCACCTAAAGATCTCTCAATAACAATAAAAAATGATATTTTTTGAGTTCCTCCTACTTATGAGATACTGGCTCAATGCTTTACATACACATCAACCCTCATCTTCAAACACTCCTGCAAAGTGGGTACTATGTATTCCCATTTTGCAGATGAGAAAACCAAACTCATTTAAGTAACTTGTCTAATTCCCCACAAATGATGAGAATAAAGTTAGGATTCATGCTTAGGTCTGTGTGATTCCAAAGCCCATATTACCTCCCAAGACACAAAAATATGTTGGCATCTTGGAGGCATATCCTAAGGGTTAAGATTATCTATCCACTTTTGTAAACAAGTGGAGGATTATCTATCTACTTTTATATGTAAGACTTCCACATTGTCTAAGAATGGTAATAATTAAGCCATTCTGTTCTGGGCTGCTAAGTGCGTAAACCACACCAGTCATCACAAAATCCACTTAAGATTCTGGCAGCGAAGTCCTTCCTAAATCAAATTAGGCTCACAGAATATTCTCAATTATCAACCAGATAACACCTCTACTAAATAACATGTGTTGTGCATGGTAAACCCTATGAAAATGTTGATGTCATTGAAGAAAGTGGATACCAGTTTGGAGTCTCTCTTTAACAGAAAGAAAAGCTCCATTGCTGAACCCCAAGCAATGTGAGTTTCTGAATAACAGGACTTTATACGTATGAAAGTTATTGTTATTCTCTGCTTACTGGAAACAAAACAAAGACATGCCCCTTAACAAGGGGAACTACAATTATTTCATATTCTATTATCAGCATACTAAATTTAATGTATAATTAGATATAATATCCCTTCATATTTTGCTCATTATATTCATAAACTTTTTCCAAAATCTCTTGAAAACATTGAAAATGTCTGTTCAGTGTATACTTTTACAATTACTTGGTAGAAGGAGATGTTTGGAAAAATAAATACCAAAATCTTCCTAGAAATTATATCTGGGAATTGAGATTATGGGAAACTTTCACTTTTTTATATTGTTCAATTTGGCATTATTCTAATTTTCTACAATGAGCAGGTATTTATTTTGTAATCAGAAAAAGCAAGTACACAATCACAATCTTTAACAATAATTTAAAATGTTATATCACATAAATCTTATTAGAAGTAATATGCATTAAGTCAGAAAGTTTAGATTTATTTTGCCCCTAGATAATGTAGCAACTCTTAGCATTAGAAGATGAAGTCTGTTCAGATGTTCAGAGTATTAGTATTATCTAATATCTGGCTTTGAGTGAGTGTCTAGGGATTGACGACATCTTATCAGAATGCCATGTAATCTTGCATCACAAAATGCCTTTAAATTAAAATCACCGCAAAAGTATACTCTAACCTTTGGCACAGGGAATGCTATCAGCCCATGAGGGAAATGTCCTAATCCTTCAACAGAAGGATTCCAGGTCACGTTCTTCATTTAAGCCTGCATCACCTCTTAATCTTGACAACAAAATCCTTACCAAAATTTTGGCAAGCACACCAGGAATGAAGCTGCCAAACAAGCATCATTACTGATCAGCCTGGTTTCCTCTCTGCTGAAACATGAGGCTATCAAAAGTTTCTTGGTGCAAATCACAAACAGGTTTTTCTCAGAATGTGCCTCTTTTTTTTATGAGCAAAAGGAAGAAAAATTACCCTATAGTTACCTCTGCCTGCCCATAAACTGTATCAAGAGTTAGCAAACTATGACCTGTGGGTCGAATCTGCTCCCTACCCTGCCCCCCAACCTCCCACAACCTGTTTTTGTAAGGAGGCCCACAAACTAAGAATGATTATTTACTTATTTGAAACAGAGTCTTGCTCTGTCATCCCAGGTGGCATCATTGTAGCTCACTGCAACCTCAAACTCCTGGGCTCAAGTTATCCTCCTGCCTCAGTCTCCCAAGTAACTGGGACTGCAGACACTCGCCCAATGCCTGGCTAATCTTTTTCTATTTTTTTTTTTTTTTTTTTACTAGAGACTGGGTCTCACTCTTACTCAGGCTGGTCTTGAACTCCTGAGCTCAAGCAATCCTTCTGCCTCGGCCTCCCAGAGTGCTAGGATTACAGGCGTGAGCCGCTGTGCCCAAGAATGATCTTTTAAATTGCCGGATAAAAATCAAATGAAACAATAATGTTTAATGACATGTGAAAATTATATAAAATTTAAATTTCAGTGTCCTTAAATAAAATTTTATTGGAACACACCCTGCTCATTCTTTTATATATTGTCTATGGCTGCTGTAATGCTACAACAGAGTTGAGTAGTTACAACAGAGACCGTATGCCCTGCTGTACCAGGTTGAATAGTATCTCCCAAAAATTGAAGTCTACCCAGAACCTCAGAATGTGACCTTATTTAGAAATAGGGTCTTTGCAGATGTAATTAAGCTAACATGAGGTCATAGTAGATTAGGGTGGGTCCTAAATCCAGTGAGTGGCGTCCTTACAAGAGGAGGGGACACAGATGCACAGAGGGAAGAAAGCCATATGGCAATGGAGGCTGAGATTGAAGTGAAGCATCTACTAGCCAAGGAACACAAAGGATTGCCAGTAAGCACCAGAAGTAGAAAAGAGGAATGCAATGGTCTCTCCCTCAGAGCCTCCAGAGCTGTGAGAGAATAAATTTCTGTTGTTTTAAGCTACCTAGTTTGTAGTATTTCATTGCAGCAGCCTAGGAAACGAATACACTTTCCAAATCTAAAATTTCTAGCACTTTCCAAACAAGTGTTGCTGACCCTTAGTATAGAGGATTGTGCCCAGAAAGAAAACTCACGGAGGATATTACCCCAGGCCAACTCAACTAGGGCAATGCTGGGCCTAATAAGAGCATAAAAGTTTTAAAAACACTACCAGGGAATTATAGCAGAAAGTAGTTCTGACCACACATCCTCTCATTTAACTTACAGGTTTTCTTAATCTCATAGAAATAAAGAACATTAATCACCTATGTAAGCTGTTGGTTACACATTATTATGTTGCATCACATGAATTTCAATAATGGCACTTCCACTTAAATGTGGCTCGGGAGCACTTCACTGTATACTCACAGCAAGTGTAACAGTAGGTCAGTGTATGTGAGGTCAGTGACCAGGGGCCACTGGGGCTGGTTAGGTGACTCTCAGTAAGGAACGGTCCACCTCTTTCCAGGTTCCGGAAGCATTGTTGCCATCACTACAGTGTTTAACAGCAGTACTTTAAACATCTTTAACACATCTTTAACTGCCATATGAGTTGTAGTTAACTCACGTTAGTTTTGAGCGCTGGGCCTCGTGGCTCACAAGTCTACCTTGAGAGCCACATGAACTATTTTTCAATTTGCATATAACTCACACACAGAAAACAAACAAATTTTTCATTAAATTGGAAAGGATTATTTCATTTTTGAAGTTTTTATTCTAATTTCATAATAAAAGACTGTGGCCCCAAGAAAAAAATTTTTTTCTAGTGTGGCAGTCAATGTGTTAAGTTCAGAGGCACTCAAAAAATATATGTTGATTGATTAAGTGAACATTCATGTTTATTAATTGGTAAGATTTAAAGAAGATTCAGGTTTTTGGTGAATTTGTATCATATTCAGTTATAAGACTCTCCATTGCTGGGGCTCTACTGGATATAAAAACACAATATGGGGATAATGAAATGCTCCTTTTTCAATAACCACTTAATTTTATGTAATTTGAATTTATTTGACTCAAGACTAGATTCGTATTCTATTGACCTAATTATTCAAGAAGAAAGGAAACGTAGCTACTGAGAAGAAGACAAACATAATGTATAATTGTAATTCAAAAATGCCCATGATGCTGATTATGGAAGTCTGGGAACCCTGTGCCCAGGATGCCAAACAACACAAAAGGAAAAACATTTCAGTTAAGAACCAAATTATAATTTGCCTTGCCTGCCAGAGAACTTCAAAGACTTTGCTGATTCCTGAATCAACCACCATGATTATTCAAGTGTAGCTGGAGGTTCAAATTTGGTTTGATGAGCCAGCCCCTTGCTTCTTCTTGGCTAAGAAAGAAACAAGACTGCCAACCAGGCAAGTTACACTACACAAAACTCCCTTCCAAATGTTCTTTAGTAGAGCAGATATGGGTCAGCCAAAGAAGCATCAAAGCCTCAGAGTAAAGCTGGGGTTCCAGCATCCTGTGGCTGGGCACCAGATCCCAGTAGCTCTCATTCCAGGTGTGGCTGCTTCATGCAAGAAGGAAGGCTCGTCTGCTTGAGCTGGAACATGTCACGTGAGCAGCAGTGAGAACAAGAAACAAATAGGAAAGATACTGAGGCTTACATGTAATGATAGAAAATACTTCATTTTTATAAAAGAACACATTTTCATTTAGAGGGTTCATCTTCAACTGGCTCATTAACAAGGCAGGAGCTTCTCCTGAAAACAAGAGTGTCAGAATCTTTAGTTTACATACTGCTTCAACCAAGGCACTTAGATCTTCTCAAGCGTTGGACGACTTTCTCCACAAACACCGAAAATTCAGATGACCTCCTTAGTCAAGAAAAAAAACCTGTTTTCATTTTGTGTTCTTCACTTGTTCAACTGGCCTTTATATAACATACAATCTCACTCCCCTAATCTCTGATACTCTCAGTTAGTTCCTTTCCTGAATTTCTAGTATTTAGAACAATCCATGTTTTTATCATCTACCAAATCAATTTTTTATTGAATGAATATTTAAATAGGCTGACTATGCTATGAATTTCAATTTTTTGCTGTTATATCTGATATGATCTAACAGGTATAACTAGCACCTTGTTTGAGGTGCTGTGTTTAAGGATGGGGAGAAAAGGATACAGAGGCTGGTAAATATTTCAGGGTTCTTGTGAAATGGAATTAGTATACACACCTACTAACTTTAAAGAAAGTGGCCAGAGACCTTTGCGTATTCAAGGGACAAAATGCATCAGGCTTCCTCCTGACAAGCTACCAGTAGAAATGGTTAGTTGCATCATCAAGCCTGAATCTATATATTTTCTGCCTTTAGCTTAAGTTTTGTTTTAAAAAACTCTGGTTTTATTTATTATAAAATTTATTTATTGAAATTCACTGCTTTATTTGTCAAATATCCAAAATATTTGATGAGAGGGTCACAGTGTACTGATAATTGTTGAAACTACCATTAGTTTCTCAAGTGTTAACACTGAGCAAACAACTGTTTTGTGATCACACTAAATAAAAGACAAGTGCTAAGCTTAATTAAAATGAAGTTATGCTTTTAAATCTTTAATAAAATAGAAAACATATGAATATGATGACCTTTTATAACTTTATTTCTTACATGAAGTTCGAGATCCATATTTAAGAAATTTTGCTAAAGTTTCACTTATGTGAAGAAATATTAGGTTAAAAATAAAATCCCCCAAATTCATCAATATATACATTACTCATTTTGAACATGAATAGAATTTGAGAAATAAGCCCTATAAATTAATTGTTCCAATCTCTTATGGTTCCAAGATTTATCATATTATGCTATATTTTCTTGTTTTAGACTCCATCTTCAACATGAAGCTCCATTGAGAGAGAGAGAGAGAGAGAGAGAAGAGAAGGGAGAGAATGTGAGAATAAGACAGTAGGAGAAGAATCTGCCTCATTGTGGGAAGAGCACCAGTCAGAAGATTTGGTCTCTAATCTAAATTCTGTTATTGTCTGTTATTGCCCTTAGGCAATATCACTATTTCTGTCACTTCCTCCTATCTGCGACATATATGTAGGTAACTCACTTAAAAAAAAAAAACAGAAAAGATAAAATGATACATTATCTAGGAATAATTTGCATACTATATAATGAAGACAACACTAAACTTGTACCTAAGGATGGAAAAGAGATTCGAATACAGAGACATTGGATGTTTCTGAAGGGTAAACTCAATATTATAAAGATATCAATTTAATACAGATTGATTTCTCAATTCAGTATGGCCCCATCAAATATTCAGAGAAAAAACGTTTCTGGAATTGAAAGTCTTATCCTAAATTTTATCTGGAAGAGTAAATGAGTAAGAATACTAACCCTCCCTTCCTCCCCTCCCTCCCTCCCTCCCTCCCTCCCTCGCCTCTCCCTCCTCCCTCCTCTCCTTGCCTTCTTCCTGTCCTTCCTTCCTTCTATCCTCTTCCTTCTTTCTCTTCCTTTCCTTCTTTCTTTTCTCTTAGAGACCGGGTCTCACCCTTGCTCTGTCATCCAGGCTCGAGTACAGTGGCAATATCATAGCTCACTGGAATCTCAAATTCCTGGCCTCAAGCCATCTTCCTGCTTCAGCCTCTCAAAGTGCTGGGATTAAAGGTGTGAGCCACTGAGCAGGCCAGAATACTGACTTTTTAAGCAGGAGAACAATAACAGGATGACTTTCCCTACCAGATATCAAAATATATTACAAAGTTAGAGTGATTAAGCAAAGATGTATTGGTGTGAGAATAGAAAGACTGTTCAGTAAAACAGAAGAGAAAATCGACTAATAGATCCACGCTTTCACAGGAACTTTAGTCAGTATTAATAGCAGCATTTCACATCAATTGTAATAGAACATAACAGAAAAAAAATCAAGTGAGATTCCCTGCCTGACATTATACTTCAAAATAAATTGCAGTTGATTATAACCAAAGCATTAAAAAATTATAAGAAACATGAAGAAAATACAAGAATATATATGTACTCTTCAGGCAGCAAAGTCATCTTAAACATGACAGAAAACCCAGAAGCCATAAGGAAACAACTGAGAGATATAACTCTTTAAACTTTTCTGCCCAGCAAAAGACCACATAAACCATGTTAAATAAAAGACATGACAGACTAGAAGGAAATATTTGCATCATATTACAGAAAGGGGTTAATTCCTATAATATGTAAAGATGAACAGGTTCCTTTGAATCAATAATAAAAAGATAATACAAAATAATAAGGTAAAAGAGTAAGAACAAATAAAATAAAAAGACAAAGTGATCAAGGAATATGAAATCAGTGATCTTATCAGTGACTTCCCATCAGATTGAACTGAACAATCAGTAGTATGCAGTGTTGATAAGGGTATGAGGAAAAGGGCATTTTCATCACTGTTCAACTGACTATAAACAACCACAGTATTTTCGTGGATTAATTTGGCAACACTCATCAATATGTTAAATATTATGCCCTTTGATGAAACATTATTACTTAAACAATCCATCCAACAAAAATGCTTATACATGTGGACAATTATATATGTGAATACTAATGATATAATAAAGAAAAAATTAAAATAGCCTAAATATTCTTCAATGGAGGGAAATAAATTTTAATATTTCCATATAAGCAACGAAACACTATATGGCAATTAAAAAGAATGAATATGTATTCTAGGGGGAATCTTCAAGACATAAAGTTGAAAAACAAAGTTAGAAAGAATAATAGACTATAGAGAGTGCTAGGATTACAGGCATGAGCCACCACGCCGGCCTATCTGTCAGTCTTGTGTGACTTTGGCTAGCATCACTCAGCCACCTCTAAACTCTGATTGAGCACCTTTTGGGTTGGAGACCATGGTTGGGTCTGTCCCCAGTATTGACCTAGACAGCTATTTCCATGTGACCCAACAATCTTATCCGTAGAGTAGATCTGAAAGCTGGAGGCTTTAGCCAGCTATTTGGTAAACTTCCTTCTTCCTTCCCAATATTTCTTTCTTTTTTTTTTTGAGACAGACTCTCGCTTTGTTGCCCAGGCTAGAGTGAGTACCATAGTGTCAGCCTAGCTCACAGCAACCTCAAACTCCTGGGCTCAAGCAATCCTGCTGCCTCCGCCTCCCAAGTAGTTGGGACTGCAGGCATGCGCCACTATGCCTGGCTAATTTTTTCTATACATATTAGTTAGCCAATTAATTTCTTTCTATTTATAGTAGAGACAGGGTCTCGCTGTTGCTCAGGCTGGTTACGAACTCCTGACCTCAAGCAAAAAAAAAAAAAGAATAATGGACTATAGTAAATAATTTCATTCATCCCATTTGGAAGACACATGTAAAATATCTCTGTAAGCAAGAAAGTGCAGAGAAAAAAGTCTGGAAAGGTATATCACAAGTTATTAACAGGAGATAGAACAATTCCCAAAAAGGAGTAGTAAAGGGGAATTTTCT